CTTCTATCCTCTCTAAAAACTAATGGGAAAAAAAATCCTCAAATAAAAATTAATCAATACAAACAAACAAAATCAAACATTAAAAAGATGTGGAAGAGATGTGGGTGCATTTTGAAGTCAGTTACTTTTAAAAAAGGCTTCTTAAAGGATTTACATTTCTTCAGCAAAGTTTTAGATTTAAACATGGACAATAATGACATGTAATATTTTATGTGGCTTTTTAAACTATAAAGGGTTCTGCTGGTCTTTAATGTCCAAGACAGCGTAGGAACCAGGGGCACTAAATCAGTCTTTATAGCTACTCCTTCTCAGCTTCAAGGCCAGAATCAAGTTGTACTCAAAAGCAGGGACAGATCACAACCGTGACTGGCATGGCATCTTGTTAGTAAATACGTGGGAGCGAGCCAGCGCTCTGCCTGAGCGGCAGTGTTTATACTGCACCCAAGGAATCATTTAGGGGAAGAAAGTCGGCCTGAGAATAAGCCGGATGATGTGACTAATGGCAGTTCTGGCCCCAGTTTGGACGGTAGGGGCTCACAGCGTCAAACACAGCTCACTTTCGGCTCTCGCTCAGCCTGAAAGCTTTAGAAAGCATTTCCAACGAAGGGCCTCAGGGACTTTGGTACAAAAATGCCAAAAAGCCTCAAATACAGTGGTATGTTTATAAAAATCGCAGGGGCCCTAGTCATGCCTAAGAGAGGTAGGGGAAATGCATTTGTTTAACCTCACAAAGTTCTTGACCAGAGATTTTTACTCGATTTAATCTACATCCGTAGCACTTCTATAATTGAATAATAAGTCATTTATTCTGAAAGTTATGAGTGTGTTTCTAGCTGTGACCCAGGCAGCTCTGGCTATGTTCTCTCTCTCTCTCTCTGTCTCCTTTTTCAAGTGCAGTGACTGAAGGTTTTGGCCACATTTCCTTCATCACGGAGGATTTTTAATGCATTGCTCACCTGCTATGAGGGAATATTAAGCAGCAGGAGCCCCATGAGCAGATCCTTTATGTGTGGATGGTGGTGTGGCTGCCATAGCAACGGTGTCACTGGATTGACCCCTTTTCCCCCTTAACTCTGCTTGGGAAAGACAGGCAGGTGGGAGGAAGAACTGGCGTGTGGGCTGGGGCCTTAGAGCTGAGAGGGGAACAGGATGGCCCGAGGCAACGAGCTGTGGATTCTGAGTTCCCCCACACACCTGATTTCCTGCAGGTGTTCCCCCACAAACCCAATTTTCCTCTGGACAAAGAGATGAGGATAAGGTTGGATGGACAGACTGGTACCAGGGCGGGGCAGCACCTCTGTAATCTCATCAGACTCCTGACATTAAAACCTTCCACCTGCCAGTGAACCACCAATAAACATCTCCTGCTTTGCCCTCTCCAGCGCTCCAGATTGCTGTACTAGCTGCCCCGTGACACCTCCTAGGAGGCTGAAAGGCGCCTCAGAGTTGAATTTCCCCAGCCCACTCCACTTCCTTATTGTCCTCATCTCCTCAATAAAGACAAAACCATTGGAACTGTCTTTGGTTCCCTCTGTCCCTCCTCCCTCTACATTAGCTTTCCAGCTAGTCCTGTTCACTGGAACTCCAAGACACATTGCAAAGACACTGCAAAAACTCTCCTCAGCTCCGTAACTCCCCTCTCCTCCACCACAGCAGTAACCTCCTGGCTGTGGTCTCCCTTGGAATTGCCCTGTGAAACAGACCATCAAACCCCTCGCTAGGTGAAGTGGTTGGTAACCAAAATCCTGCTAAAGTGGGTTCAAGAGAAATTAAGTGTGGAGGAAGGAGCTAAGTCTTAGAGAGTGTGTCTCCGTAAGGCAGGTGTGGATTGGCAGGAATGAGTTTTTCTAACGTGAGCTGCTGAGGCATATTGACTTGCTGATGGTGTGAGCCAGGAGAAAGGGAGCACACGGTGATGCAGGGGAGAGGGGAGGCTGGCTGGGGTTGTCCTCTTTGGTGTCCCAGCATGCACAGCTCATCCACAGCCATGGGAAGGAGGGATCTGAGTGTCTGCTCCACAGTGGGCTTTATTTTTATTTTGAAGTATAGTTGGTAAATAATACTATATTGGTTACAGTAGTTTCAGTGTACAATATAGTGATTCGACATTTTTATACCTTACAATGTTATCACCCCGCTAATTCTAGTAATGACCTTTCACTAAGCAAGCTTATCACAATGTCATTGACTCCAGTCCCATTCACCTCTTCACCCCTCCCCGACCAATTGCCTTCTGGTAACCTTTTCTTTGGTCTCTCTATCAGTCTATGTTTGCTTTGTTTGTTTGTTGGTTTTATGTGTGTCTTTTTAGATTCCACATATAAGTGAAATCATATGATATTTGTCTTTCTTTGCCTGACTTATTTCACCTAACATAATACCCTCTAGATCCATCCATGTTGTTACAAATGGCAAGTTTTCATTCTTTTTTTGTTGCTGTGTAGTATTCCATTGGGTGTATATGGAATATTATCTATCTATCACTTATTGGTTTCTTTATCTATCATTTATCTATATACTACATAAAAAGCCAGTGACTGGAAAGCCAGAACAACCGATCACTATGACTCCCACTGTAGCCAGCGAACCAGCCAGTCAACCTCCTGCAGCCCCTCCCCCTAGCTTGCCCCACCCCTGATTGCCCTCCCTCCCAATCGGGGCAGGACTGGCCTGCTGGCCAGCCACCTGCAGCCCCTCCCACAGGCCGCTAGGCCCTGATTGCCATCCCCACCCCATTTGCGGAGGAGCTGTGGGCAGCATGTCCCCACCACACCAATCACTCCCCACCACCCCAATCAGCCCATGGCCCCTCCTTCAGCCAGCTTTGCTCCCGATTGGCCCATCCTATCCCATTTGGGGGCAGGGCTGGTCAGCCCACTGCCCATAGCCCCACTGCACACAGCCCCTTCCCCTTGCTGGCCCTACTCCCAATCCCCCCCCTCCCCACCCACCGCCCCATTGGGGGCAGGGCCTGCTGACAAATCATCCATGGCCCCTCCCACAAGCTGGCCAGGCCCTGATTTGGCCTCAATTGGTGTGGGCCAGCCAGCCAACCTCCCACAATTTCCTCCTCCTGATAGGTCCAGTGGCCCTAATACACCAGTTGGGGCCAGAAGAGCCAGACCCCATCTGTGCACGAATTCCTCATTGGGCCTCTAGTTATAAATAATGGTTCAGTGAACATAGAAGTGCATATGTCTTTTTGAATTAGTGTTCTTATTTTCTTCGGATAAATATACAGAAGTGGAATTGCTGGTGGGCTTTAGATATGTGGGCTGATGAACTGGCCTGAGCTCACCCTTCTCCTCTCAGTGAAGTAGGAAGTAGGGTCATTAGCTGACAATTGGAAGGATAAGGAGGTGGGAAGAAGTAGGGGGACATATGCTTTCTTTCTGAACACACCATGGCTAGGTGTGTTCAGAAAGAAAGCTCTTGAACACAGCTCTTTCCTCTACCTGGAATACTCTTGGCTAGGGTTTTTCACATGGCTTGTGACTTTGTGACGTTCAGATCTTAGCTTAAATGTCACCTCCTCAGAGAGACTTCCCCAACCTCAGAATCTGAAATATAATAGCTACCCTGTCACTCACAATCACATCACCCTATTTAATTCTCTGATTAGCATTTATCACTGTGAGATATTTAGCTTGTTTATTTTTTACTTCTTTACATGTTTTTTGCTCCATCTTTCACTAGAGATACTAGCCCACAATAGGAAAAAAAAATACAAATGTGTCATGATGGAATATGATAGAACCAGATTTGGGTGTATAATTTTGAATAGGCCTGGAATTAAATGTGTGTGTGTGTGTGTGTGTGTGTGTGTGTGTGTGTATGCGTGCGTGATGGGGTACATTAGCAGCCAACTTAAGATGCAAGTGGTCTGTACTCTCCTAGGCAAACAGAGGATCTTTCATCCTCAAGTCCACTCAGCACTTGAACTTTGTAGCAGCCTTCCTGTGCCTAGTGCCAGTGAATTCGGACATAGAGGTCCAGATACCATTAGTGAACAATATGTAAATATCTAAACTGAGTGTATCAAAGAAAGACCTTTAAAATGGGAAAATGGAGAGGCCAGGTTTTCCTCTTTAAGCCTTAAATAGATGTGTGAACTGGGCCTAAAACCCTGCTGGCTCTGCAGCCAGCGTCTAATGCCAATCTGGCTAAGAACAGGAAGTCTGTCAGCCCAGGGGCATATGCAAACAAAGTTTCAAAAGTCTGAAACAGCCTCCTTTTGTCTTAAAGTGATGGTTTATATTATAATTCCTCTACGAAGATCTAATTTGCCACACAAAAAAATTCTTATGCAGTCTTTACAAATAAAACTAACAAAAAGATCCTCATATACCTAGTTTAAAATAATGCATGGAAATATATTTATATTCTGTACATGTGTTTCTTCCCTAAATCTCTAATGATTGTACTGCAGTGCTGAGTTGTCCAGAATTGAACCAGTGTATCATTCTCTAAGAATAAGGTAGGAAGTGACTGTATATTTAGCCAAGTAGCCCAAGACCACTCATCCTCCCAGGGTCAGGAAATACTAAAATAGTGAACAAAGATAAACTTCAGGAAGAAAAAAAATTTTTCTAAGCCATCAATGTAACTCACCCTTTCAGTTAAGGCCACGGATACTTCAACCTCCCATCACCTTGCTGGCAAAGTCTAAATTTTTGGAACCAAATGCGGATTGATGAAAGCTAAGATTATTAAAAGATGTTTCAGACAGTTTCTTGTTCCACCCATAAAAAATGAGCTCATGTAGGTAAGATGGCATACTATTAGGGGCCTATGATGACTGATGTTTCCTGGTTACTTCTCCTCAGGAATTATCGGAGATGTGGCAGGGACTTCAGTGGTTGTCTGCATCCTTTCCCAGATTTGTGAAATCACCACATTCACTGACCCATAGATCACAAACCATGTAATCTGCTGGGTGGGTAGACAAAATTCTGGACTACAGCGTTTTCTGTTTTGCTTTTGTTTGTTTTTTTATTTAGGCTGGAGGAGAAAAACTAGATTCGGAAGAGGCACTGATCTATGAAGTGGATTTAGATGAAGGAGATGGTGTTGAAGGCGAGATGGAAGAAAGCACAAAACTGAAAATCTTCCGCAGGTTTGCCTTTGTGGCTTCCAAACTGAAGGAATTTATTGGCAACATGATAACCACCGCTGGAAAAGTAGTTGTGACAATTTTACTGGGTTCATCAGGTGAGAGTTTCCAGTCCTGGGTGGAGCACAAATGACTCTGGCGCATCATGAAAGAATTGGTGGAAGAGAAAATAAAGAAGGAAATAATTCTATTCCATGACACCTGTATAATAGCCGGAGCTTCTGTAAGAGGCCACATGTACAGACCACACACATGCAAATCATTTTTCCCCGTGCAGTTCTAGTTTTTATATTTTAGAAAGTTCCTGTTAATTTCTGTAAGGCAATCGTTTTCGATACCTGTCACGAGGCATCATTTTCTGCGTGTAGATCAGAAAAACAACCATTCTTCCACAGAGCCTGTGAATGGTGACCTGGGACAATGAATAATTTTAGTGTGCAGGTGTCTCTGAGAGCATGTCTGTATACATTGATTCATCAGTAATCGTAATTTAACTCTCCAGAATTTACTCTTTTTCTTCCTAAATTACATTGCCATCTTCCAACACAGATACCCACTTCCTTTACATTTTGGTTATGGACTGCTGATACCATAATTATGTTATCTCAGTCTACGTTCTCCCTCCCTATCCCTCCACCACTCCCCCATTCCATAATTAATAGCTACTAGGAAGTTCATCCAATACTGCCTCATTGAAATTTCACAAGATGAAACAACATAACTTTTTTAATGGGAAAATTAAAAAGTGGAAAAAAATAACAGAATGTCTCAATATTTTAATGAGGAGTCATTTCAAAATCCCTGCCACCACCATTTCCTCTAAAAGGTTTTTAATGCCTGTAAAGGAATTGCCTTGTTTTACATTTCCCTTTTTAGTGATAGTGCAAGTTGAATTCGTCTGGTAGGACAACATGTTAGTGAAACTTAACTGCCACAGAATGTATTATTATTATGACTCCTAGTTAACTAAAAAACAGGTAAATTATTATTTTTAAAGTGGTATTGGGAAAGTTGGAAGGGACATACAGTATTCCTGAACATTTTTAGGGAGAAACAAAAGATGGAAACAAGCAATTAAATATGCTGTATTCTGCTGATGTGAACATGTGAGGTTTACTCTGCTCAAATACCGTACATAGAATTTCTTCCTCATCTGGTATTTCCCCATATTTACAAATATCACTTGATGTGTGTGTGTTCATAATAAAAATAGCATTGATTTTGATTTTATAAATAAAATGTTGATTATTTAAAACCTGATCAATACCTAAAAACCAGTGGAGGAAATTTATATAATCTATAGTACTTGTAGTTACAGAGTGGTAAATGATTTTTAGTTCCATGCAATGTTTCACGATTTTATTTCTTCTTCCTTAGGTATGATGCTGCCCTCTCTGACCTCCTCCGTCTACTTTTTTGTATTTTTGGGTCTGTGCACCTGGTGGTCCTGGTGCCGGACGTTCGACCCATTGCTGTTCAGCTGTCTCTGTGTTCTCCTGGCTATCTTCACCGCGGGACACTTGATTGGACTTTATTTATACCAGTTCCAATTCTTTCAAGAAGCAGTCCCACCCAATGACTACTATGCAAGGTAAGAGAAGAAAACTCATTAAGACTCTAAAGGGGAGGTGGCCCTCTAACATGACGTGGTTTGAATTTGCAGGGGCTCTTCTTGATGGGTGGGGTTCTTCTAGGGATGGGGAAGCAGTAAATGTATTGAATGGCACAGTCTAGGAAGTAGTAGATGATCCATTCAGATGGAGGTGCTGCTGGGAAAGGAAAAAGGGAAGCTGCTGTTTGTAGCAAGTGAGGCAGATACATGGTCTCAGCTGTGGAAAGAGATCCAGGAAAAACATTTCATATCAAAGAATAATGATGACTTCTTAAAGCACCCACCTGGAAGGAGCTCTCAAAGGCCAAGTAGAGGACATATTGAGAATCAATCAATCAAAAGTCAATAATTGATTCTAAAATTTAAAAAATAAAAACACATGACTCCATGCTGAGAGAGAGAAATCTAATTTGCTTCAAATAAAGGTGACAAATACACATACTCCTTACGGTAAAAATGGGAGTTAAAGATAAAGAATACAGCATTTACTTGGAGTTTTTGGAGGAACTCTAAGCCATTCTAAGTTAATGAAATAAAAGTCCTCTTTACAGAAAAACAATAGTTAATGAAAGGGAAAGGAATAATTGAATTAGAAAATTACTACTCAGCAATGCTTAATGGCATACTTGTGTCTAGTTGCAAACCAAAACCATTACTTAATGCAATGAAGGATGTTTGCAATAATGACAAAGTATATTTTCACTAATTATTTACTAAGTTCAAAGGAAAAAGATCAAACCCTTACAATGGTGGTTAACCCCTTAACTAATTGATAAAAAATGACAAACAAAAATGGGGTAGTTCAACATTTTACATTTCTAAATGTGATGTAATATGAGGTATATATTGATAGCATTATATTCTTAAACCTCTAGACCTAACCTCCAATTTGCAGAAAATATAAAAGATAGAAAATTAATTTAAATAAGTCTACAGGAAAACAGAAAAATCCAGAATGTGGATTCTACAAGGCAAATGATCTTGTCTTCTTTAAACTTAGCACAGATATGACTCTAGATTAGATCCTCCTTCAATGACAAGCCCCAAAGAAAAGTTTTGAGGTTAAATGGGAATATTTCAATATTCATTGATTATTAGATGATAGTATAGAATTTTTGTTAAATTTTAGGTGTATGATTGTATTGTGACTTTACAGGAAAATGTCATTGTTTTGGAGATACATGGTGAATTATTTAGGGATTAAATGTCATAATTTCTGCAACTTTCTACTAGCTTATAGACAAACATGGGAAGGAAGGAGGTGCGGGGGGGTACAGATTATTTCAATTTAGGTCATTGTCATTGGATCATTCATTGCCATATTTTAATTTTCTTTTTGTGTGGAAAAAAATCACAATTAAAATTTATGGAAAAAAGAAAAGAAAAGAGAAATGGCGAGAATGTCAGGATGAAGTGAAGACTATGCCAGAAATTTTCTCTCTGATATGTCTCTGGGAAGTCTTATAGGCACTGAAGTAAAATAAGTCAGGTAGAGAAAGACAAATACTGCTTGGTATCACATATGTGCAATCTAAATGAAAAAACAAAACAAAAAAAAAACAAAACTCATGTAAGCAGTCTGTGGATTGGTGATTGCCAGAGCAGTGGGGTGTGGGGAATAGGAAAGGCTGGTGAAAGAATATAAACTCAATTATGACATGAGCAAGCTCTGAAAATCTAATGTTTAGGAGGTTTACTATAGTTAATAACACTATATTGTATACCTGAAATTTGCTAAAAGAGTATATCTTAATCAATCTCACCCACAAAAGAGCTATGCAAGCTGGTGATTGATGTTAATTTACTTGATTACAGCCAGAGGCTGTGAGATGTATGTGAAAATTATTTCCCAGAAAGGTCACGGCCAACTTTATTGCATTTTCACTGCCACCCTCTGTGGTACATGTCCTTCAGGTATTAAATATCCACTCCAGTGAGAAATGAAAGAGGCTATGGTATATGTGGTTCATTAAGTGTGATGTTAGCAAATATTTAGTTTTGCTGGAGACAAGTATTGGTTTTTAATTTATTTATTTAGAAAACTCAATAATAGTTTTCATCCCTGGTGGTTAAAATAAACATGGCTAAACTATTAAATAGCTTTCACTTTCCAAGGAATTAGAGATTTTTGTTCATATTCAATATGTTTCTTTGAGACCAGGTTTATCTCTCACTATTGAGAGACTTTGGATAACGATTCTTAATTTTAGGGGGAGGGGAGGGTCTTGTATTAAAAATGGGGCTACTATCCCTGCTCCAGAGTGCTGTGGTATATATTGATGCACACAGGGTCTGCCCATGCCTAGTAATCAGAAGGCGATTAAGAAATGTTAGTTCTGCTTTCCTTTGGTGGTAGTATGTGTGTATGTATAGGAAGCATACACAGTGTAACTTTTTAATTAAACAAACTGTTATATGAGAGGGTTGATAAGTAATATTTTTCATTCTGATTTCAAGTTTACATGGCATTCAGTAGTTTAGTAAAATTCATTTCAAAATAACTCTTCTCTCCTCCTTCATTAAAAGTCTAACAACTACCATTGTTTTCCTGATCAGGAAAACCAGACTGGGAAAATTTAATACTATTTAATTCTGTTTCTTGGTATTCTTCCCATACAATAAAACATATTCCTTAAACAAACCTAAATTGAAATATCATATACATATGAAATAAGTTGAAATTTAAACACACACACACACACACACACACACACACACACACACACATGATCCCTCAGCCCAGCTTGCACCCTCTTGTAGTCCGGGACCTCTCAGGGGATGTCCACCTGCCAGCTTAGGTCCATGGCCATCCCTCTCACAGTCTGGGACCTCCTGCTCCTTACCACTCGCCTGCAGCAGAGGCAGGAGAGGCTCCCACCATCCCATTGTGCTCATCAGCCATGAGCCTGGCTTCTGGCTGAGCAGTACTCTCCTTTGGGAGCACACTGACCACCAGAGGGCAGCAACTGCATCGAGTGTCTGCCCCCTAGTAGTCAGTGCACGTCATAGTGACTGGTCATTCTGCCATTTGGTTGATTTGCATATTAGGATTTTATTATATAGGATAATGTGAGTAATTTTAATATTACCTTCCCCGTAGTTTTGTCATGAATATTAAATTAGTTAATATTTATACAAAAAAATCCTAGAACATATAAAGAACAGTAAAGAGGTATTTATTAAATATATTTGTTAAATAAGTTGTCTTAATAGCTAATTAGGTATTCAAGCCTTTTATTAAAACTTTGATAATAATATGTAAGCCTAGTCTTTCATATATTTTATCTGCAAATTTTGAGTTCAAACAAGACTTTTTATTTTAGGCAGTATATTTGTAGTTGCTTGTTACATTATTTAAAATTGCTATCATTTCTGGTAACTTACTGTGTAGGAGATACTTTGCTTAGTGCTTTGTATTTCTTATTAAATTTTCATAATAACCCTAGGAGTTAGTAGGTACTGTTATTGTTATGCTTACTATTTATTATTTATTATTTATTATTTTATAAATCCTCAAGCAAGGATTTTTTTCATTGATTTTTTTTTTAGAGAGTAAAACAAAGGGAGGGCCAAAACTGGTTTGCCTCAACGGATAGAGTGTCGGCTTGGGGACTGAAGGGTCCCGGGTTCGATTCCCGTCAAGGGCATGTTCCTTGGTTGCGGGCATATCCCCAGTAGGGGGTGTGCAAGAGGCAGCTGATCGATGACTCTCTCTCATTGATGTTTCTAACTCTCGGTCTCTCTCCCTTTCTCTCTGTACAAAATCAATAAAATTAAAAAAGAAAAAGAAAAAAAGAAACAAAGGGAGGGAGGAAGTGAGAGATAGAGTGAGAGAGGAACATATATGTGAGAGAGACACATCTATTGACCTCTCACACAGGAGCCCTGACCAGGGGCGAGGGATTAAACCTGCGACCCAGGTATGTGCCTTTGACCAAGAGTCCTTTGGTGTGTGGGTGAATGCTCTACTAAGCCCACATAGGCCAAGGCTATGCTCATCTATCTACACTAATAAAAGAGAAAGATGCAAATTTACAGTACCTTTGTGACACCCACCAGCCAATCAGGAGTGGGTATGCAAATTAATCCAACAAAGATGGCCGGTAAATTTGCATACAGGCTCTGAGTGGCTGGGGACCAGCAAGAGGCTTGTGTCATCACCATGGCAATGAGACAAGCGTTCCACACAGTCCCAACCATTCTGGACCTCTGGGCAGCATAGGAAGGCAGAAAGGCGCCTCTGGGCCAGAGCAAAAAGGTGGCTCTAGCCAGAGCAAAGGCAGTACTGGTAGCCAGGGGAAGGAATGCCCATTCTTGCATGAATCTTCATGCATCAGACCTCTAGTTTTTAAATACTGAGATTACAAAAGTTAAATAGCACATCGAGGCTACATGTTTATTAAATGACAGAATCAGGATTTGAGCCTAACCCTGCCTGACTCCAAAGCTTGTGCCCCATTAGCTATATGAGCATAATCACCCTCAGAAACTAGTAAACCTGTAATAATGTTTTTACTATTTTTCTCAAATATTTATGGACATACATCCAGATTCCAATATGATTATTTTTGTTCATTCAGTCTTTGCACTTTCACTCTTAAAAGTCCAGGGACTCTAATTTGAGCCCAGGTGAGGGACATCTATAGCCATAGTGACATGAGGCAGTCCATTCGTATGCACCTAATGTCAGTGGACTGAGCTAGTCCTTTCGGACGCATAGCATTTGGATCTGGGCAAGGAGCCGCGTTAGAGGATTTGCCTAGCAATGAAAGGCAGGAGCCACGTCTAATTTATCTTTGTGTTCCCTCAGACCTGGAGCTCTGCCTAGCCTGCCCCGTGCTCTAGTGAACACTTGCTCAGTCAAACAAATAACTTGTTTTACGTTTAAACTTCCACAATATTAAGAGGAATAAAGACCACACAGTTTAAAGTTCTGTCTTTCAAAATTTGTTCTAAATGATTGGTATTAATGAACGTATTACAGACTATGCCTGGATGGTACAATTTTCTTTCAATTTTAAACATTAATAGCAAATTAATGATGATAGAATTTCTTGTGGTATAAAGATAGACTGTTCCTTCAGGCTAAGATAACAGCTTATGTAAAAATAAATCTAAAGTGATCTTTTGAGAAAGGGCATTTTGGAGCAAAACAATTATTTAGCTATCAAACATTTTATTGGAAATTGTGACCATCTTGTTTATTAGAGTTAAGATTCTCATCGCTGGTCTGGATTTTAATTGATTGCAGCAACACCTCATTAATTATTTAGTTTGGTTGTAAATAAGCCGAGTTGGCTGCCTTGTAAAGTATTTTGAAAATAAATATAGTGAATGATATTGCCTCATAACTGCTTGGCTTATTATGATTCAGAATGTTGCTTATGAAGTAACTTTAGCTATTTTATCTCCTTTTTAGTCCTAAGCAACTCTGACTCAAGGATGAGAGATTAGTTCTGAAAGTAAGAACCAAGATTCTTTGATTTTTCTTTCAGAGTTTCTTTAAAGAAGTTGTTTGCTGAGAAAATTTGGCAAAGGTTTTCATAAACATGCTAGTTATGCATTATTGGTGTAAGTAGTATAATTACTTTTCTTAACAGTTTTCTTGAGGTATAATTGCTACGCAATAAACAGAGTATCTTTAAAGTCTACAGTTCAATGAATATTTATATAAACACACCCATGAAACTGTCATGGCAATCAAGGTAATGAACATATCTATTAAGCCCAAACATTTCCTTACACCCTTCATGATTTCCTGCCTTCTCTCGTTTTCTCATCCCACCCCCAGATAGTTATCGATGTGCAACATGTAACTAGATATATATGCATAACCCGTGGGAACAGATAGTAGTGTAACAAAGGCCTGGAGCAAGGGGTGGTGGTGGACTAGAAGGGATCAATGGAGGGAAAAGGAGAACATGTATAATTCTTTCAACAATAAAGATTAAAAATAAATAAATAATGAAATAGACTTGACAATATTCAGAGGACACATTGTAGAATTGTATACCTGAAACTTATATAGATTTATTAACCAGTGTCACCCCAATAAGTTAAATAAAAATAAAACAAAAGGTTTTAAAAATCTAAATCTCTATCTAAACATTACTTTAGAAACATCCTGCAAATTTTGATATGGTATGTTTTCTTTTTCATTCCATTCAAAATACTTTTTAATATTCATTTGAGTTTCCTCTTCGACTCTCTATATATGTTGTAAGATAATGTAATTTGTTTTGTAGTCCAAATATGGTATAGTTTGGTAACTTCTCTATGTGGATTTGAATTTCCCCCCCCCCATTTTTACTGAAATCTTTTCATTTTACCCTAAAAGATCCCTTTTAGCAATTATTTCAGGGCAGATCTATTGGAAATGAACTCAATTATTTATTTGGGAATATCTTAATTTCTCCCTTATTTTTTTAAATTGATTTTTATTGGCTCTTAATATATATATATATATATATATATATATATATATATATATATATTTATATATATTTTATTGATTTTTTACAGAGAGAAAGGGAGGAGAGAGATAGAGAGCTAGAAATGTCGATGAGAGAGAAACATCGACCAGCTGCCTCTTGCACACCCCCTACCGGGGCTGTGCCCGCAACCAATGTACATGCCCTTGACCGGAATCAAACCTGGGACTTTTCAGTCCGTCAGCAGACCGACGCTCTACCGCTGAGCCAAACCGGTTTTGGCTCTCCTTTATTTTTTGAAGGAGAGTTTTGTCAAATATAGAATTCTTGGTTGGCACTTACTATTTTTATGGTGCTTTGTGTATGTCAACTTACTGACTTCTGGACTGCTGGGTTTCTGATAAAAAATTTGCTGGTATTTTTACTAAGGATTGCATGCATGTGGTGAATCATTTTTTTCCTGCTGCTTTCAAGATTCTTTTTTTTTTTTTTCTTTTTACAGTTTGCTTATAATATCCCTAAACATAATGAAGATCCACGATTTTCTTCATATTTGGAAAGTTTGAAGCCACTATTACTTCAAATATTTTCTCTTACTTTTTCTTTTTCTCTTCTCCTTTTGGGACTCCAATAATGCATTTATTGGTCCATTTAATAGTGTCCCACAGGTCCCCCTTGTGGTATGTTCATTTTATTTCACTTTTTTAATTGTTCCTCAGACTTGATAATTTCAATTGTCCTAACTTTAAATTCCCTTATTTTATCTTCTACCTTTTAAAATCTGCTTTTGAAACTTTATAGTGTATGTTTTCACTGCAGTTATTTTGTTTTTGCACCTTGAAAAAAAAAATCCTCACCTGAAGATATGTTTTACTGATTTTTGGAGAGAGGGGAAGGGTAAGAAACATTGATCGGTTGCCTCTCATACACATCCCCACCAGGGATCTAACCCACCACCTAGGCATGTGTCTTGACTAGGAATCAAACAGGCAAAATTTCAATGCACAGGACACTGCTCCAACCAACTGAGCCACACCATCCAGGGCAGGAGTTTTTTTTTTTTTTTTTTTTTTTTTTATTGCACTACTTTTCAACACCATACACTTTTTTTGTGTCTTTTTACAATTTCTATCTCTTAATTGATATCTCATTTTGTTGATACATAATTTTCTTGCCTTTGTCCATGGTTTTGTTTAGTTTCTTTAAGCATCTTTAAGACAGTTTTATAAAAGTATTGGTCTAGTAAGGCCAATGTCTGTGTGTATCCTGGTATGATTTGTGTCAATTTACTTTGTGCTTTTGAATAGGTCATATTTTCCTGTATCTTTGTATATGCTAAGAAAAATGTCATAGAGTTTACTGCCCACATTTTCTCTAAGAGTTTTATGGTTTTGAGTCTTACATTTAAGTCTTTATTTTGAATTTATCTTGTATATGATGTAAGAATATGGCTTAGTTTCATTTTTGCACATGTATCTGTCCAATAAAAATATGAACACTTTATAAATTTGCATGTCATCTTTGTTCAGGGGCCATTTTAATCTTCTCTCTATTGTTCCAATTCAAGTACAATACATGTGCTATCGAATCAAGCACCGAGTCTTGTATCTTTTTATCTTCTATGTCTTTATATAGCTTTTTGTATACATGAATATATCTATGTAACTTTAATTACTGATTTAGCATTTCTATCAAATTTGAGTCAGTTTCATTATTGATTTTTGACCCCTTTAAATTGTTTATAATTTGTATACTTGGTAATGTTTGCTTGGATGCTAGACATTGCTATTTTTACCTTGTTAGGTGCAAAATATTTTGTATTCTTAAAATTATAAGGTGTGTTCTAGGAGGCAGTTAAGTTGCATGGACACGTTTGAGCCTTTCAAGACTTATTTTTAAGATTTTTTAGGAAGAACAAATGCAGTGCTCATTTGGATGGATTATTTCTCACTACCGAGTTAAGGTTCTTCTGTGTACTCTACCCAATGCTCCATGATCATAAAAATTTTACTCTGGCTAGTGGATAGGCACTCCCTGGCCTGTATGAACAGCAGACACTGTTGCATCCAATCCTTTCTGGTAGTTTTTCTTTTTCTTTTTTGTCAGTCTAGAGTAGTTTCCTCACGTATATGCACTGGACTGTACTCTGGCGAGTTTAAAGATGACCCTCTTTCGGTCTCTGGAGTTCTGTCTGTATAAAGTTATTTCCTCTCAGGTACACTGTCCTTTGAAATTTAGGTACTGCAGCATCCCTAAACTCTTTTTAATTGCAAGCTACATCTCTTCAACTCAGGGAACTTGGCAGACTCTTCCTGGGTTTCTCCTCCCAGTACTGGGAGAGGCCATTTCAATACTGGAAACTCTCTCAATTCAGTAAATCTTGGGCAACTTTAGAGATTATCTTATTTTTTCTCATTCCTCAAAGATTACTATTCTTCATTGCCTGATATGCAGTGTCCACCAAATTATTGTTGCATATATATTTTAGTTGATCCAGTCAGAAGGTTATTTCAATCTCTGTTACTTATCTTAACAAGAAACATTTTTTGTGTGTGTCATTATGGGTGCTGATGACAGAAGTTCAGAAAGTTATTTATTCCTTCCTCTACAATCATCTCAAACCTTGAGGCTGGCAAACATATGAAGGGGCCTTTTCCTTATCAGTCACATGCAGGCTCTGCTCACACCAAACATTTAAGTGGTGTAGATACATAAGCATCACTTAAATTGTTTAATAATCTGAAAATTTATTCGGCAAGGGAAATATATGTATTTTTCTGACCATTCTGGAGTAGCTGGTCTCTAGTCCCTAATGTGGTTATCAGGAAGAATCTGGAAACCATGACAATTATAAGCCTGTTCAGATAGCAGATTTGATATGTTTATGTAGAATATCTTTCAGAGTAGCTTAATGGATTCAATTCCAGAGTTTTAACACCACACCTTTTATGAGGAATGGGCCTTTTATTATCAAAATCAAAGATGTGGGGGTTTATTTGCACACTATACATACTTTATTTTTGGAGTTAGATTTTCCCACCTGTTCTCAAAAGGACTGGTTTCACATAAAATTGTGGAAGAAATCATACCTGAAGTTCATACTGATGAAAAATTGTTATAGTCACCTTCCTGACCACTGTTACCCTGAGTAAAAAAGAAAAAGCTCTAATATTCATTACCATGACTTGTTGGGTTTGGAACTGGTTTATGTGGCTACTAAGTCAAACAAATAAAAATTTAATTTAGGGAAAAATCAATAATTAACTTATTCGACATTTACTGATGGAAGTGGATTTTTTTATAAACATAACCTTTGTCTTTCTTTAAAATTACTTTGAGCTAAATTTGCATGATACCTGTTATGCATTAAAATGTTTGTGAATCCCTTAAAAAAGGAAATTCTCAAGAATGATCCGTTTAGTTTATACTTTTTGTTGGATCCTATTACAAGAATATTTCATGGAATGTTATGGCAGTGCTTTCTCCTGTGAGAGCAGTTATCCAGTCCTTTCCCCTTACATTTCTCTGACCTTTCTGGCATTAAATTAAACTCCTTAGTTTTTAATTTTCAACTTTCCCTTTAGTGTCCTTCCTATAAATTAAAATGCAAGAGCATAAAGCAGCTACTCTCTTAGGAAGTGAAACTCCCAAACCATCAAGGCAAAGCAACTCCATGGGAGGAAAATCTTGGCAATCATCTTCCTATGGGGAAAACAAGTCAGCGCCAATTTCCCAAAAGCATTCCACCATATCTGAGTAATGTTGTCTTTAGAAAGTAGTGCTCTTTGATAAAAAGGAATAGTGTTGTATTTACCTAGGAATAGTGTTGTATCCCTAGCAGTAACTGTAGTTAGGACTCAGCAAACAAAAGGATGACTTAATAAATAAATCCTGTAATGGAACTCCCCTTTCCTAACATTCTTATGCTTTTCTTATATTGCCACTTATTGCATCTGAGAAATAGGTTGGTGTGATTGAAAGCCAACATACCTGTTGTCATAAGTCCTACCACTTATTACCTTGTCAGTCATTTGTGCCTAAAATTTCCATGTAGAATGAAAACAATAGCAAATAGTGCCTCGATTCATCAACACAGTACCTGTTTCATCATGGGAATCACCTTTCTGGTGTTGGTCTCCTTCTCTCCCACTTTGTAACTTCATCAGTTATTAACTATATTGGACTCTAAAATGAGGTATTTAAATCCATGTTTACATTATAGCTACTTGGGGAAAGTTATAGTTACATGTAATAGAAGTGCCTACATTTACTACTTCTTGCTTTGTGCCCCTCAGTATGGAAGGTTGCATGGCCTGTGTGTTGAGCTTGGTCTTGTTGTCGTAAGAAGCAGTGCAGGAAGGAGCCTGGATGAGAAACTAACTGGTCCTGGGAGGACTGATCCTGACTCATTTTTCACATTTCTCTCAGAGGTGAAAATGTGTTTAGGCAAGGAAATGAACCATATATTTAAAATGCTCATAGAGTATAAATGTTCTCTTATGAACCCTGGATGTGACTTCAGAGAAGGTAGAGCGCCTTTAATAGTTAAATGGAAAGGAACTTCCAAATGGCTGCAACTTGTCCATCAACAATCGTAGCTCTGAAGAGAGCACACCTTCTACCTGGTACAAAATTGTCCTCTGCACAGAACGTTTTTATTATAAGGCAGTGTTCTGCACATGTAGCATAAAACCCAATTACAGAAAATTGGCAAATAGTTAAGACATGGATGTGCCAAAAAAAAGACTTCAAAGCCACGATGCAGAGCCCAGGGGTCTCAATGCAAAGTTTTTCTAAGCTTAAAAAAACAATGTAGTGTGAAACCTGTCAGATTTCAATTTTCCCACACACAAAAAGTGTCTAAAGGTTTGGCATGGAAACGTGTTTAAAGCATAAGTAAGAGACTAATGAAAAAGGATGGTTAAACATTGGCTGTTTTTCATATGATGCAATACACGGAGAAAAAAAAAATGGAATTGGGAGCCAAAGTAGCAAAAACTCATGTGTAAAAAGCAGTATTATGCTCATAGGAATGGGGTGCCATAAGAAAGAGAAGAATTGTGCTAGAAATATCCCTTAAAGATAGATCCAATCTTGCTCCAGCCAAGACATTTGTCTAACACAGAGAAAATGTTTTAAGAGGGTTGGAAACATAAACCCGGCTTTCTGTGGACATCTGATTCCCCTTGCTTGTTTGACAATGCATCCTTGCTTTCACTCATACATGAAAACGAATTCTGTTTCCCCCCTGCCAACAGTTCTGAGCACTTTACTCATCCTGATTGCACGTTAGAATTTTGGAATGGGAAGAGATTCAGACACCATGTACTGGTAGTTCTCAGCTCCCCTGCTGGCCCCAACATTCTCAAGGATAGTCCTTCCTTAGTATCCACTCCACCAACCCATTCCTAAGAGCTGTTTGCTGGAGCATTCTGCAGGCAAATCTATCAGAAAGATGGGGGTGGAGGGTGAGGGTGGTCAAGAAGGGTGAAAAAGTGACCCGGGGAGATTCTGTGTTCCCCCGTAGAGAGGATTTCTTTTTCTTTTTGAGGATCATTGAATCTACAGACTTTCCCTATCCTACACTTGGAAAATCATAACAACGAAGTTAGGGAAGACTGTTGAAATCCAGCCCACCAGGAGCAATGCTTCCTATGTCCTGTCAAAACAAGACTACACATCACCCTCGCCTCAGGCACATTCTTCTTGGATTGAAAAGTAGCTGTGGGCCATTTCTGGGCAAAGTGTATTTTTTTGTTTAATACAAGAAACTAACATACATATATGTGTTTAAGAGTGCACATGTGCATAGCAACAGAAGAATGTCTGTTTTGCAAAAACCAATTTACAACTGGGTGTCTTCACTGGTCCTCTTCTTCTTTCTTTGATCGCATTACCAAAATGAGATAGATTTTTCTTGATAAATAACCTAATAATTAATAATAATATCAATAAATAAATGTTATAAATTTGGCACAGCCTCCCTACCATCTCACCCAAACTCTTTCAGATATTACCACCCAGCTTTTTTCTTGAGGATGACTGTGGTTCTGTTCCATCTTAAAGAGGACATTTATCTATTTTTATTTTCCAGCAATACCAATATGATATTATAAATAGAGCATAAACCAAGTTCATATTATGTTAATAGTAATAACAATAATAATAGTAGTAACCATAATTTCTTGAGCAGTTAGTACATGCCACATTCTGTGATATTGCTTTATATAGATTATTAAGTTGCCCGGTGCATGAAATTCATGCACATTAAAAGGGGATTAATTTGAGGAAATATTTTAATATTGCTATTTGCCCCTTTTCTATAATAAAAGTGTCAGAGATTAAAGAAAATTAGTAAAATATATGAAAATCTTCCTCCTGTTAGAATTTGGGGCATGCCATGGGATCCAGAGTCAAGTCCCCACTCACCTGAAGAGCCTAAAATTAATGTGAGACCCAGACTTAGCTGGCCCCACCCCTCTTGGGCAAGATCCAGACCCAGTTGGCCCCACCCTTGTCAAGCTCTGCCAGGTTGGGGGTTCAGCCTCAGGTCCCCCAGCGCACCCTCAGATCCCCAGGCCTGGTGCTAGGGTAGGGGCACGGCCTGAGGTCTCTCAGGCCTGAGGTCTCTCCACTTGGCACCAGGGCAGGGGGCATACGGTGTGGTCTCTCATCAAGCCCCACTGGGCCAGGAGCATGGCCTGAGGTGCCCTGTCCAGCCCCACTGGGTAGAGGGTGTGGACTGAGGTCCCCCAGCCTGGGGGAGGGGAGCAGCCTGAGAAACCCCAGCCCAGCACCAGGGCAGGGGGTGCACCTTGAGATCCCAGGTTAGAGGTCAGTGATTGTTAAAATATATTTCTGCTCAAAAATCTTCAAGCCCTAAAAAAATGAATCAATCAGCTTCAGATTAGCTGCTGATATGGTAGCAGCTTTATCACTTGTTATTGAGATTTAGCATTATAAATTTCAGTAATAATCAGTCGGGGGGAGTTAGTATAATGAGGGAAGTGATTTCAGAGAGTTTTTATTCCATTTTATGCGAATTTGTTATTGTAATCCAATAACTGAGGGAATCTTACAAAGTGTCTATAAAAACAGAAGGTTTTTGTTGTTGTTTTTAATGTTCAAATAGAAAGGAAATTGAAACATTGGCTTATTTTGACTTGTTTATATCTGTTTCTGACCATGGTATATATTATACTATCAGAGTAAATAAATGTTTTTCCATAATGGAAATTAATATGAAAATTTCTGTTGTATCTTTGTAATCAAACCTTTGCTAAGATACTGCTTGTCAGAATTGGGATTTAGTGAGAATTACTAGAAATGTATGAACTTGGTTAGGAGTTTTATTGTGTAGTGTGTTCATAGGCATATTTCCAGTCTAACATTATGCACATTTTTAAACGAGTTGGTGATGTAAAGAATGTTGGAAAAATTTAGAACAGATTTCTGTAAAGTTTCTCTGTCTTTATAGAAAGTTCTGTTTTATATTTGACAGTAAACACTCTTCAGTGGCTTCTTGCTCAATATTCTAAATTTGGAACATCTATTTCACATCCTGTGTCTTCCACCTCCCTACCAAAGAGACTGAGGTCATTTGTGTGACCTTCATTCGAGGAGAGTCTATAATAATGTGCTTGTAAACGTGAGAGACCAAGGAGGGTATGAGGACTGGGTGCTTCTTGCTCAAGCAAGAAGGAAAGTCCTTCTCCTGAGCCTGTTCCAGGCACTTTGCCTTAAATTGGCAGCTTCGCTTCCTGAGGGAGGAAGGACTCTGGAATTCAAACAGACACGGGTCCCAATTGCCTGGCTCCCTCATTGTGAGACTGGAGTTCTGGCCTCCTCAGCTTGTGGGTGGTTGAATAATATTTACCTCATGGTGTCAGTGAGGTGCTGAAGCAGGCTGTGGATGTACAGTGTCTGGCACTGGTAGGACTCAGTCACTGTTTGCTGTGTTCTCCTGTGAGGAAGTGTGGAAAGAAAATGAGGCACCTACTTTATATTGTAGGACTGGGTTCATCATTTTCACAGTTAAGGCTTATTGGATACTTACCAATGACAAGTTCTAATTCATTGAATGCTTCCAACAACTTTATAAGGTAGGTTCTATAATCCCCATTTTAAAGATAAGAAAACTGAGGTGTAGATAATTTATTTACCCCAAGGCAGAGCCAGAGTTTGAACTCAAATTTCACTCTCAAGCCCATACTGTGAATCAGCACATATCAAGCTCACCTGCCTCACAGAAAGCAGTGAAAACAAACATTAGAGGGGAATGTTAACCTGGCCTAAGGATGTGTTTACCAGGGGAACTTTGAGTGTACTATAGAGCTACTTATCTTTGTAGTGAACCGTCTCAGAGAGGTTATTCGCAGCTCTCATTGCAAAAAACCCACAGGGAAGTTTTGTAAATGTTCTACCACCTTCCGCTTTACCCAGAGAGATCTCAGCGAGTCCGAGGTAGGGCCAGGTAGTGGTGCTTGAAAGGACCCCAAGGGAATTCCAGCTGGAAAGGGGACATGCTGCAGATATCACAGTGGTTTGAAGTTCCAAAGGAGAAGAAGCACACGAAGGGGATCTCAGAGCCCCAGGACCATCCTTGTACAGCTCCTTAAGCACTGAAGGGGGCTTGTCTCCCTGGGCTAGTGTTCCTTGAGACCTCAGCCATTCACCAAGTGCCAGTGTCAGGCCATGCCACTCTTTGAGTGTCGCCACATCCCAGACAATCAGAGCCACTTTTGCCCATTCTGGGCTGAAATATTTCCCGGAGACAAGTCTGCCACTAGCTGCCAGCAAGCCAGTTCTACAGAAAATGCCTCCCTCTCCCTCAACCTCCACAGGGCTACAAAGTGGACAAGTTTAATTTCTATGTAGTTTATCTTAAAATGTGGGTTCAGAAGTTCACCAGTACTCTACTTGTTTTGTGATAGGAAACAATAATAAATGTAAAGATTTATGAGTGAGGGACATTTAGTCTTGGAAGGTCTCATAACTGAATGAAGAATGTAACATAAAAATCAAAAGAATTTCACATGTAAGAAACAGGAATGATAGAAAGATATGAGACAACTTCATTTAATAGATTCCTTTCTTAGAAAAATTCATATGAAGTAAATTTCTAAATGAATTGTATTTTAAATATTTTCCCATTATATAATTAGGTACATTCTGATTATTAGTAGAAGGAACATAAAAAAATCCAGAATTTAAAACACCTCGTAAAAAGTATGTTTCAAAGTAAATAATTATATTTCAAAGAAAAAATCTAATTGCCCATAAATAAAGTTCGGTGGAAATATATCTAACAGAAACTATAATATATAATGTCTGGCTTTTATGACTGAACTGTAGAATAGTTTCCAATGTTAACATTTGCCCAATAATATCAACACTAACTGAATAGCTAATGTTAAATCCTACCAAATACTAAATATGTGCTCATTGTCCTGATTTAGTAACATGTTACTACTGACCTGACATTTCAATAAAGCATGTTTAAATAGGGCTGATTGACAATTAAAATGTAAATTTCTAATAGGTGTGCAAGGATTTAGTATTAGCTAGATCTTTGAATCAATGTAAAGGTCATCTGGATAATGTTGGCAACACATATATATTCACACACACACGAACACACATATATGATTTAAGGACATATATAAATACATACATTATTTAAAGATGTAGTTATATATACAGAAGAGTAATGAAATATCTAGAAAAAGATGGATTAGCCTAAGAAGAGCTCATGTATGGACTAAAAACAAGATTTTCCTTTTCTGTATTTAGGGACACAGAGTTTGTTATATTTTTAAAATATAATATGTTTTATTTATTTTTTGACAGGTTGTTTGGTATCAAATCAGTTATTCAAACAGACTGTTCCAGCACGTGGAAGATCGTAGCAAACCCAAGCCTGAAATGGTACCACCATGCCAACCCCATCCTGCTGCTGGTGATGTACTACACGCTGGCAACTCTGATCCGCATCTGGCTGCAGGAGCCGCTTGTAAGGATCAAAGGTTTTTGTGATCTTGTCTGCAAAGTAACCTGGAAAACCCCAGGTGAAATGGTTCTTCCCTACCAAGTGCCCAATATAGTGTTGGTAGCAATAAGATGGATTAACTATAGTATTGTAGTTAATGGATTAACAATACTATAGTATTGGTAGCAATACTAGATGCTCCGAACTGTAGTGCTCTGCTTATAGTATTTTTTGAGTCTACAAAGAGTTCTAAGTACAAATACTATCAGAACAAAGACCAGCTTCCTTTTGATGCTACCAACATGGGCTGCTAAGAATGATAGGTGATGTGGAGAATGGAAGACTCATTATTGAGCACTTACAAAGTGCCAGGCCATATGCAAGGCTGTTGACATGTGTTGTCTTTTTCAATCCACTATTGAAATCCACCTATTCTGACGAGTAGTATTGGACCCAGCTTAGAGATGAGTAAAATGAGTTTAGCGTGGTAAAGCGGTCTGAAATCACACACCTACTGGAGAGCAGAAACCAGATTCAAACTAATGTTTAACAACAAAACGAGGTTCTCAGTGGCTGTTTACCCTGTTCTTGCAGTGACCGGAGTTTTCCAAATTTCTCAGACCTCTATCCTCTGAGCACTGATGGCATGGATTAAAACATGTTTTGAGGGATAAAGACCCATTTATCTTTGTTTGAAAGTAATTAAAAATTGCTTCACTGTACTTGTACAGTACTAAAAGCTGCATTGTCCAGTAAATGTGAGAGAGATCCATTTAGGAAATGCTGAACTGCTTTTTCAGACATTGGTGTTAACATATTTTCAATTATTGTGTGTATGTGAATGTGTAATAGAAAATAGAAAAAAGTTGCATTTTTCTACTTATATAAACAAAATGCTACTTATGTAAACATTTTCTATTTATCTAAATACCATGAGTTTTGTGCATGGTTTTTATAAATCTTGGATTTACCGGACTGTCTTTTTATCCTTTGTGGATTTTTTTTTAGAAATTATAAAATTTTATGGTAGCTAAAATGTTACTTAAAAAAACGTTCAGTTATTGAGACAGCTTATTGGTATGTGAAGGAGGCACTAGTAAATGCGTGCACAAAAGAAACTAAAATGTATTATGGGAACTACTTCTGAACAGTGTTTTATAACTGACAAAAGTTACTTCAAGGAATTTGAATTGGTAGGAGTTTGCAAGCACCCTTAGCTTTCTCAGGTTTCTCAGGCAGACCCGCAGAATGGCAGGCACTGTGTGCCCTGGCTGTCCCACTGTCACAGAGGTGCAGGTGTTATCCCTACTCCAACAATGAGATGACGTTCAAATGAGACATTGGGTTTCTTTAGCCATAGAGCATGTGGCGACAAAGGAAGGCAGCTAGGAAGACCACCCAGGTTCCAGCCTGCACAGTTAATAGCAGTATTACCAATCACAGGGGCTGCAGGGGTGTGGCTCATTGAGGCAGTGATGGAAGCCAGGTGACTGATTATATCGTAATTCCAGATCACCTGGCACATGGTATGAAAAATGCCAGTCAGCGAATTAAGGTTTGTTCTGTGGTAAAAGTCTACCGTACATGTTTGAGAGAGGGGGGGAGGGGGGGGGAGAGAAACAGGTGTCAAAACTTGGATGTAACATATGGACTCCCACCTGGCAAGTGTGAATTTCCACCCAGTGTGCCCGAGTGTCTCCGTGGGTGCTGCTGCTGGCACTGGAACTGGAGACCTGGGCAGTAGGACCATGTCCCCTCCCTCTGCTCCAAAATCAGTGGTTAATTCCCTTTGTATTGGGCCATCTTTGTTGAGGCAGCATTCTGTTCCTCATACCCTCTCTTTATCATCTCTCCCAGACCAATTGTCTAATTTAGACCAATGTCTTCTTAGGCAAGGCCACAGTTTTGTGAATAAGATATATGCTAGCTTCATAGTGTGTAAACTCTAGGTGATTTTGGCTTAGTAAATCTCTTCTTCATGCAAGGTTACATAGTTAAGTGTATATTTTTAATGTAAAGCTCTTCCTCTAAGAACCATAGTTGTCTTCTAGTGTTTAGAACACACATGAATAAGCTGTGGATGTTTAACATTAGAACATATTCTTGTAATTATGGGGCTTAATAATAATCAGGAGCATTAATAATGATGAGCTGAGCATTTAAATGACAGCATTTTTGTTATTTTTGAAAGTGTCTTAATAAAACCCTTATATTGTATACATTAATTTGAAAAATAATCATATCGAAGCAAAGTTGGAAAGTTTTCCTGGTCACTCCGGTGGTTGAGGGAACTGCTCTGGGAAGCAGGGCTTTCCTGTGAGCCATTGTTCTGTGTCTCAGGTGCAGGATGAGAAGACCAAGGAGGAGAGAGCCCTGCCCTGTAGTCCCATCCAGATAACAGCTGAGAGGAGGCGGAGCCTGTGGTATGCAACCCATTACCCAACTGATGAGAGAAAAGTAAGACACTAAGAAAGGAATTTCCATTTCCTACTTTATTTCGCTATTTTCATATTATATTGCCCAATGTAGGTCATATAGTATCAATCTCAAGTTGCTCAGTTTATAGAAATGGGTTGACTTTGAAGTCTTAGTAGTGGAGAGCTCTATTCAAGAAGGAGCATAGTGCTTCCAAAGGGTATACCATGGCTCAGCTGTACTCTGTGAGACACCATTCTGTATTTCCATGCTTTCCACTGAAGTCTTTTAATCCGAAAGAAAAAGAATCTTCTTCACTTAAAAAAAAAATAAAGCTGTATTAAAACAATCAAGACCTAAGGAAGCCATCTGTGAGCACTGGGTTGTGAAAGTCTCGGTGTTCAAATACATTGCAGATAATACTTTCACTCTATTAGGTAGCCAGCCACAATAATAACTCAAGAAACCACTTAGAGAATATCAAAACAATCTATATGAATACAATTAGGTGTCTCTTACTACTGTGAAGCAACAGTATGGATTGACAAGGAAAAGTGAGTCACAATTGGGTAATACACATAATGTTTTGAGCACATATTAACCATTTTGAACTCAACTCAATCATTGCTATACTGACTTGCTAAAATGTCCCATTTGCAATGTTCCAAAGACAAATAATTTTATTTTACTTGGATGGGGTCAGCAGTTTTTGCTTTGTGGCATGTCAGAGTATTGAGGAGCAGGTACTCTGATTTATTTGGTGGTAATTGAGTTTCTCTAAGACACGTGGTCTTATTCTATGTATGACCATCCTGTGCCGAGAGAGGGTGGAACAATGAAACGCTGTCGTAGGGAGCTGGCAGCAATGTGGAGAAGATGGGGCACCCTCGGATTGGTGAGGGTTTCCAGGGTCCCTTTCCACTCTCATTGCACCATGTTTCAGATGATCCTGCTCATTTCACTAAGTGATGATATCCACAAAGGACAGCACAGCAGTTACCAAAGTGAGGTCGGTGCATCTCTGAGGATTCCTGAGGCCCTTACAGCAATCCACAAGCTCAAAACTCTTTTTGTAATAATTGGTTAAATATTTACCTTTCGTTGTGGTAACGAATTTTTTTTTTTTTTTCTGATGGTACAAAAGCACAAACCAAGGCAGTGGCATGAACCCCTACCGTCGTGGTCGAGCCTTCATGGCCACACACTTGCAAAAAGCAAAGCAAAAAGTCCAGTTCCATTTAAGTATATCCTTGATGAACCAGAACTTTTCATTAATTTTCTTAAGTCTCAACCTTAGAGCACACGTCTTTTCAATATTGTGTGTGACAAAATAAGGAGTCAGCACAAAGTGCCACATACTGAAATATGACAACTGTGTCGATGAAAAGCATTTGATTGGTCATTGGAAGTGTGGATTGAACTAGCCATTTTCTGCTGAACACCAGGTTTACTTGAAATAGCTGACAGTTGGTGGTTACTCAGGTGTGGGTATTTGGTAGACAGTTACTGGAAAATAAATAGAGTGAGCCCATCTTTTCAAGGCATCAGCTCACAGCACTTGTCGCCAATGATAAACTTTGAACTTTTGAGTGAAAATTCAATGATTGAAAAATTTGTATCTATTGCTGAGGGCTTGAAAACTTCCCAATACATAAGGACTGTTCTGGTAAAATTAGTGCTGATATTAACAAACGTGCTATTTTAAATATCGTGTGATGAAATATGCCAATACTGGTAGGGCTGTATGACACACTGAAGCAAATCACCAACACATGATATTGCAATGTGTGGGTGAAAGATTCATGCAAGGTGCAAGGTACAGGCATACCTTGCTTTATTGTACTTTGCTTTATCGTGCTTCACAGATGTGTCTTTTTTTCAAATTGAAGTCAAACCCTCCACTGGCAAAAAGGTGATGACTTGCTTTCTGTCAATACTCATTTTATTGCAGTGGAATGGAACCAAACCCGCAACATCTCTGAGTGTGCCAGTGTATCAATGGGTTTTGATGAAACACTGTATAAAGTTTGATTTGAGTTCAGATTTCACATTACAACTAACTTCAAGTTCCTACCATTTACTGAGTCTGATGCAGTAGAAAATAAAACTATCTACCATTATCGGGATAGACTACTGAAATACTTCTTCCTTTGCCAACTATAAGTCTCAGTGAACCAGATTTTCTTTACATACTTCAACCGTCACAACACATCACAACAAATTGAATGCAAAAACAGATACGAGAATCCAGCTGCCTTCTTTTAAATCAGTCAGATGTTAAAAGGACATGCAAAAGCATAAAACAATGCCACTCTTCTCACTGTTTTTAAAATGCAGCTGTTTGAATATCTATGTTAACATATAATGGCTATTTAATTTTTAATGAATATGTAATATCTTTAAATGTCTTAGTTTTCATTTCTCAATGGTAGATACTGACAAATATTACTCATATAAAGAACACTTTGCACCCCCGCCCCAGTGATTTGTAAGAATGTAAATGAGTCCTGACTTAAAATATCTGGGGACCCCTTTGCACTGGCAAAGCAAATGTTTATTATTTAGGGGGAGCTCAAACCATCTGGCACTAACATAACTAAAAAATACAGTCCTATAATAATTCTTTTGTTGTAGACAGCATGCAAATCTTAAAATAATCTCAAACCACACAACAAATAAAGTTTTCTTTATTATGAAACGTCTATTTCTTGAAAAGCGAACACTCAGAATTCTGCAGTGCCTCAGAGGGTTCTAGGAATATAAAATCTAGCGGTTTAATCTATTAGAACAAAACACTTGAAAATTTAACTAACATTTATAGTGATGTTGTTTATGCCTGCTTACTTGCTATTATAATTAAAAGTTAGCATCAGAAGCTGGACAATCTATAATAATAAAAGCATAGTATGCTAATTAGACTGGCAGTCCTTCCAGACGACCTTCCAGATGAAGCCACGGTGGCAGGGACGCAGGCAGAGACACTGCTTTGGCAGTGGGGTCCGAGCCCCTTGCACAAATTTTGTGCACCGGACCTCTAGTGTTATAATAAACAGCAACATCCCAATCAATTATTTGCCCCTTTCTATTTTGCATGGCAATTTTAACATACTAGCATCGAGCTAGTTTAAGAGAATGGATATGTATGTGATGAAACTTGGTATACATTACAATGCTTTTGGCTTATATATTAACATGCTGTCCTGCATTGCTTTTTGCAGCTTTTATCCATGACCCAAGATGACTACAAACCATCTGACGTTAGTATATCCTTAGAATTATCATTATTTGTGCATAAGTTATGTAAAAGTGACATAAATGGAATTAGCTCCTTTAGTCTATTTTAATGTTGTATACAATTTCTCTAACTTTTTGAATAATTATTTTGTAGAAATTAGATCTGGTTTATTGCTATTAAAATACCAACTTGTGGACTCCAGCATAGTCATATAGAATGTATTTAAACTTTAAAAAAAAAAAATATTGGGAGTTTTTTAAAAAAGCATTTTGCTCTGTGGCTATGTCTGCTACATAGTTTGAATAGGAACTCTTACATGTCCACGGACACACACACATATGTATATGTGTGTGTGCATTTTTATATGCTTACCATATTTTCCGGCGTATAAGATGACCCCCTTAATTTTAGTTAAAACATAGGTTTAGGCCTATATTCGCTGTATAAGACTACCCCCCACTTCCGAGGCAACACCAGTTCTTATTTTAATAGACCGCCTCTCTGACTCTGGCCAATCTGAGCAGGTTTTTTTCATTTCAAAAGTCATCTTATAGGCCGGAAAATACGGTATCTTTAAAATTGTAAAGTCAAAGGAACAGAGGGGAAAAATAAACAAGAAATTGCACATCGTATATGACGTTTTACAGTAAGGGAATTACAAGCTGGCAGCATCAGGCAGAGATGCCCAGCGGGGGTGCCGTCTGAGCTGAGACCTGTTGCGTCAGTCCTGTGCAGAGCCCATGGTCTGTGGGGCGGGACAGGGATGGGCCAGGACAGTGAGGCTCCTGGGCAGGGCCCAGGAATGGTCTAGAGTCCTTAGAGCTGGAGGCTGGCTGGGAGGAGGACAGCCATGAGAGCAGAGACTGGCAATTAGACCAGGTCATGAGGCCTCAGGCAGCCTTTTCCAGATTTTGCACTCTAGTCCGAGATCAGAGGTGCATTGCATGGTGTTCAGCAGAAATGGGACAAGGTCAGAGTTCCATTTTATTGCAATCTGTCCGTGGAGGATAGGTTTGGAGAGGAAATAGACACAATTTCATCTTGCTAACGTGGCTAGCTGACTAAGCTGTTTGCTCTTCACTGCTGAGTCACACCTTAGCGTACGGGCAGGAGGCTGTATGTTCACACTGAAAACAGCAGCGGCATCACAGGTGTGCTCTTCCCTCACGCCCCTGCAGGGCCTGCTGGTCACCGTGAATGGCAACCCTGTGGACTACCACACCATCCACCCCAGTCTTCCCATCGAGAACGGCCCCGCCAAAGCCGAGCTGTACTCCACGCCGCAGTACCGGTGGGAGTCCTCGGACGACTCTGCAGGTGAGGAGGCAGCTCTGCAGGCCGCGGTCTGCCCGGGTTTGAGTTTCTCACAGGTGTAAATTCAGCCTGGCCTCTCTGTCTTGTGTTCATTGTTCCTTGGATTTGGTTCTTCTTTCTCCTTTCTTTTCCTAACAAGTATTGTCTTCCATGGTTAGTATAATTAAGCTCAGTTCCTTAAGTTCTCCCTATATTCCGCCCCAACGCATGGTTATGTGTGTTCTACTCTTATCTACACACTAAGAGGCATAATCAGGGCAAATGTTGACAAATGAAAGGTAAAAAGTGATTTTAAGGATGTCAACTTGTGTATATGTATGTTTTAGTCTTTCCATCATTTGATAATGTAATCCTGGTCAATAGTTCTGCAGGTTAATGGATGAATCTTTTCAGAAAGAGTTCTTTTTGTCTATTAAGAAGAGGAGAGGGTCAAAACTTGAACACGGCCCTCCCCCACCCTCCTTTTCCTCTGTCTGTTATGTTAAGGCAAAGCAGCCTGGGTGGAGGAGTTCTTGACCTCAGACTCAGTTTTTTAGGCCCACACAGCATTTTCTTAAAAAAAAAAATTAAATAGCAACCAACATTTAAAAAGCTGCAGCTCTAATCTAGAAATGCAAATTTCCAGAATCTCTTGAAAAATGCAAGTATCTGGCAAACTATTCCCTCGTTTCTGCAAGGAAGCAGCTATTATCTTTGGTTTGTTGGAGACCACGCCAGTCACCAACTCATAAAGACACAATTAGCTGAGTTTACTATCAAAGGGGGGAAAAGCAGAAGGCATGCAGGTAGCAGCAAAGTGGATACAACATTATAGCGGACTTTTCTATTTTTATGGAATTAAAGCTGGGGTTGTTATATATTATCCTAAATTTAGTGAACAGCCAGCCACTATCCAATCTGGGTTATCAGTACATTAATCTGACTCTCATGTCCTTTTCTTTCATAATTCTTTATCAGGGTTATTCTAATACACTGTTCTTCCTAGTTCTTTATCAGTGTTTCCTGCAGTTGCCTCTGACAATGCATCTACTTAGCAGTACAAATGGTTAGTACATTATCCAACATTCTCTCGTAAGATCAGATCAAGTTCAGTTCTCTACCCCATCCTGAACCCCCCCCCCCCGCCCCCGCCACACACACACACAGACTCAGCTGGCATCTGCAATCCCTACAGAGCACCAGACTCTACTGGTTAATTCCCCATTTCTCCTTCCGATGTGCATGTGTTTCAGTTTGCAACTCTGGCTTAAGTGAAGGTTTTCGCTGAGAGAATGTGTCAGGAAATACACTGCTTCCCAAATTGTGGCCTTCAAACCTTTAGAATCACAAAGGGGAGGCCCAAGAACCAGCATTTATGATGTCTGAAGTTCGAGACGTAGAGGTCAGAGCCAAATATCCTTCTATTGACACACTACTTAACATGAAAAGAAATGAACAGAATTCTGACTGCTGACAAGGCAAACCTAACATACTAACTCATAAACTGAACTTTTGAAAGTAAAACAAAATTTTTTTATTTTAATCTATATATGCAAAAAGTGTTATCACCAGAGAAGTAGCATGCCAATAATTGTGAAATCCATCCAATTTAGATTTTTTGTGACTGTCTCCACTCTGTGGACTCCCCCCAGTAAACCCCAGGCTAACCTCACCCCCGAGTTGGAGGGTTGGGAGGCAGTGGGCTTCTGCTAAAAGAAGTATCACAGCTGCTCTTAGAGGCTCTCTGCTGAGCCTTCGTGGCCACTGGTTTTTTGGAGATTTATGCTCCTTTTTTGTGGTGCTCATTAACTTCCTAAATGGGATGTAGCCTATTTAATTTAAGAAATACAAGAAGGACATTTTACTTAAGTGTGTCACTCATTGTTTCATCTGTGAAATCAAAATAGCTGTCCTGACATTTGTAGGAGGATCTTGAGAATCCTTCACACCCATGGCAGTACTTTCCTATTGCTGGTCTCTTCAACTCAGCCCTTTACACTTTCTCTCTCTTGCTTTGGCCTGCTCTTTTCATCCTCAGTATGACTTCTCCACCTCAGCAGGACCCAAAAGGAAACTCTGGATTACCACATCCACTCTGGCAAAGTGGTTGGTTTTCTGAACTTTTCCTGCAACCATACTCCACATACTCTTTGTATGAGTTATCTATTACTGAGTAACACACTTAGTGGTTTAAAGCAGCATTTATATCACACTGTTTCTGTGGGTAAGGAACTGTCTGTGATTAGGCCGATATTCTTTGGCTCAGGGACTTCATGATGCTGAAATCCAGCTGCTGGCCAAGCCTGTGGTCTCATTTGAGGGCTCGCCTGGAGACAGTCTGCTTCCATGATCACTCACCTGGCTACTGGCTGGCCATATGCCTTTGCTGACTGCTGGCCAGAGGCATCAAGCCCTTGCCACCTGGGCTCCTCCTTGGGCAGTGTACAACAAGGCAGCTGATTTCTCTCAGTATTACGTTCCTTAGAAGCCCATCAAAGGTCCCACACACAGTCAAAAGAGAGGGTTACACAAGACAGGAATACTAGGAGGTAGGGGGTCATTGGTGAGTGACTTAGAAGCTTCCCTCCATACTCACTTAAATAAAAAATTAATTTTGATAATTTCTGAGTGCAGGGTCCCATTCCACTCACCAAGAAAAATTCAATGATTCTGTTTGAATTCTATGGACTTCATTAATTGGAAATAATCTTTGGAGTCTTAAATGAAAAACCATGCTAAAAACATACATGAGCTGCATTGCTTGAGACACTCATACAAAATTCTTGTACTGTATTTGCATAACTAGTTGTGTAAAATATTTCTCTATCTAGAAAAGAAAGAGGAAGAAGAGGATGAGAAAGAAGAATTTGAAGAGGAGAGGAGCCATGAGGAAAAAACAAGCGTGAAAGTCCACGCCATGGTCTCTGTGTTCCAGTTTATTATGAAACAAAGTTACATCTGTGCGCTCATTTCCATGATGGTATGTACAAGAGGCCACAGAACGGGTGCTGAGAAATGTGCGCCTGGCCTGCTGGCCGGGAGCCTCGCTGACCTCTCAGGAACAGCAGGAAGGTCTTAATCTCCCCACTGTGTTGGCAGAGAACGTTTGGTTCTATTAATGTTTCATGGGATTTTTATATTATGGATTTCAAAATTATATCCTCTTCCACTCAGCCTCCTTTTAAATATTAATACATTTCTCCCAAATTATCCTAGCAAGTCAGACCGTCCCTAGTTTCAAAGGACATTGTGTGTAGTTTTCCTCAGTGATAGTGAAGATGTTCAAAATGACCATAGATAGCTTTTATTTCTTTCAGATAGTAAGAACTGCCTTCACATCTCGTCTTCGATTGGAGTGAGGCTTTTTCTGTATCTTATCTGCAATAAACTTTTACCAACATGAATGTCAAGCAACCAGAGTTCCCAGAGTTCCCCAGGGCTTTTCCTGCTAGGAGCACTCAGTGTAGGCATGTTTCTACTCACCTCTCGGGGCACCCTTCATCTCTTGTTTCACAGCATCGGACACAGTCTTCTGGCCTATACGTAGATGATAACAGAAAGCCTCATTCCTATACTCTCTGAAAACAAACTTGCGTGGGAAATCTAATTTGTTTTTGAGAAACCTAACACTTATTTAACACAAAACTCTTCCAAAGTATGTGGTGGACGGTGAGAGATCTCATGGGCATCGTTGATGATAAGAAATGAAAATAATCTATAAAGCTGGGGAGAAGGGACACCTCAACACTGTTTCCTCAGTCCAGATGTTCCCCACTCCAGCTTCTAGTAAGAGCCACTGGGATACCTGAAAGAGGGATGGGAAACAGAACGCTCCACAAAATTAAAGATGGCGCTTCTGGAACGTGCAAATTCTATTCTCTACATAACATGAATTCTGTCCTCTTTTGGGTCCTTTTTGATATTTTTCTAATTTTCAATCTCTACAGCAAAATAACGATTTTAAAATATCAAACATATAAGTGCAACTTACAAATCTGATGCTTAACTCAAAAGAGCATACACTCCCCCATCCCCCACCCCCACCCACCCCGGCCCTCTCCTTTCTAAAGATAAGCCAGTTAACATTGGTACCTTTCTGTAAAGAAATAGAGCTTTAACATTTTTGAATACACATTTTGTAGGGGGAAAAATCTATTCTAAAAACAACAAAAGAGAGCAGATCCTTCATTAGGGACGTGCCCTTTTCTGTTGCCATTTCTGTTGCGTTAGTGGAACCACAGTATGAATGTTTTTAAAATGCCTGCCTTCCATGGAAGCTCCCTGCTGCACAGGCTTTTAATCACAGACAGAAAGGGAAGTCCAGAGGAGCTGACTCTGTTAGAACAATATATGATTTATTCAAGAATACTAAGTGCAGATATACTAACCTCTCCGGAAACCCAAACACTGAACGTAGGAAGCAACATACTGCAGAGTCTGCTTCCCAGCTATCACAACTGAGAGGCATAGGTGACTTTGATTTTAAAAGAGAAGAAGTTTTTTTTTTAAAAAAATCCACATCACTGCCGAAACCAGTTTGGCTCAGTGGATAGAGCGTCGGCCTGTGGACTGAAAGGTCCCGGGTTCGATTCCGGTCAAGGGCATGTACCTTGATTGCGGACACATCTTCAGTAGGGGGTGTGCAAGAGGCAGCTGATCGATGTTTCTCTCTCATCGATGTTTCTAACTCTCTATCCTTCTGTCTTCCTCTCTATAAAAAAATCAATAAAATATATATTTTTAAAAATCCACATCACTTGTTTTTCTCCTTTTTCATTCTCACCTTCCAAACAAGAATAGTGTGCAGGGGGAAAATCTGCTGGGATTATAATCTCTGTGAAGCTTATTTTCCTGGGTCACTCACACAAAAATGCTAGTCACATCTGCCTCTCATACTGGGATAAATGCATTAAATACAGTATTTAATGCAGATATATCAAATGTTACCTGAATTTTGATAAGACACTATTTCCAAGAAATAAATGTTTATGAAAATAAGTCAGACTTGATCATAGTTGTCAGTCACTAACTTAATCTTTAAAAAAGGAATTTTAATTTTCAGTTTATACCTATATATTTTAACCAACAATTTAAGATAATTTACCACTTAAAAAGCTGCTACCTGTGCTTTAGGACAAATTTGCAAATCACTGAGAGGAAATATTTATTTGGTCCAGGCAGACTTCTTTTATCTTAATACCTACTTTCCGGAAGCAAAACAGACTTATAAAACACTTCAGACTTTATAACTAACTCTTGATAATTAGTGCTATTCAGGAAGATGATAGATTGCAATTAGTACCAGACATATCTAGAAATTGTTTTAAAAGGTCTATAAAATTTTTGGATCAGAGATTATGATTTACCATGAGAGCAGTATGATCTGAGTCCATTGTAGAGGACTTTGAAATTCACCAGGCAGATTGGGTGTCTAGGAAAGGAATTCTATCAATTAATACTATTTGTGACCCTGATTTACTCATTGTTCTGGTAGCTGCCCTTTGAGATACATTTCTGATTCTTTGAAAGTTTAGTGTGCATGGAAGGTGTATCCTTTGTCCAAGCAGTGTGAGGGCTCTTAGTCCTACTCCTTATAGGACAGAAGCTGAGGCTGGTCTTTAAATTAACTTGGCTTTATTTGTGCAGAAACCTGACATACAGCTTCCTCATGGGCATTTTCTAATTTCTCTCATTGCATTTTCTTGGGTATCTGAGAGTGATCTGTGAAGCGCAACAAGTATGCTTACCCTGGTGGTTCCAACAGCTTCCATTTCGGAACCCAGCTCTGGGCCAAGCGGGGAGAAAGTATTTACAGTTGCTTTTAATACTGCAAAGGAGGGTAAAGATGAAGACCTTTGGGGCTGGAGGGAAAAGAACCTGGAATGAAGACCCCCTTGCCTTTAAATCTGTTCCCTATAGGAGTGTCAAGAGCAATGTTCTTCTCAGGAGAATCAGTCTTTCTCTTCTCTTCCCTCTGTGCTGCAGGCTGGGGTCTCTCTCCATGATTTCAGCACAACTCTCTCCTCTCCCCGGTTTGAATGTTACTTACTTTCTCTTCATAGATGACTTTTAGCTTACCAGAGTAGATGACTCTATGCTGTATTGACCATTGCTTTTCCTCCCTGTTCCCCCGTCAAGGCTTGGAGCATCACCTATCACAGCTGGCTGACTTTCGTGCTGTTGATTTGGTCATGCACTCTTTGGATGATTCGCAACAGAAGAAAATATGCCATGATCAGCTCTCCTTTCATGGTTGTCTATGCAAATCTATTGCTGATATTACAATATATATGGAGTTTTGAACTTCCAGAAATTAAAAAGGTCCCAGGATTTTTAGAAAAGAAAGATCCAGGAGAACTCGCCTCCAAGGTAAGTGACTAAGAAACCAAGAACATAAAACATTATAACCACAATAAGAATAATAATCATATCTAAGCAAAAACTTACGAAAATCGGTTGCAAATATTCATTGCTTTACCAAAAATGAATAGATATGAAACTATAATAATTCAAACATGAACAAAATTATTACACCATGCTTTTAGAACTTATTTAAAAGTGACAATGCTTTCCACTCAAAGAATACATATACTCAAAGTTATTTTTAGTATAAATTATAATTTAGTACGATTTTCAATGGGTGTGCTGCAACTGGGACACTTGTGTACTGCAAAATTTTTTAAAAGATGCAACACCTGATTATTGCAGGGGCACTGACCTCTTTTCTTTTAGACTGTCAAATAAAAAAATAACAGCAATCAAAACAACAGTAAACCACCTGGTATGAATGAATAAAAAATACACCTATTTTTTTGTTAGGTTGGCAAAAACATATATATTTTTTGTGTGCCTCAGAACTTTAGTAATTACTTTATGTGTACTATAAGATTAAAAAGATTGAAAATTTCTGGTATAGTAGAAATGAGATGAGGAAAATAGGGAAATAAAATGTAATATAAATATAAGGATTAGAGGACTTTGATAATTGATTTGCAAAACAGGCTGAACCTATTGCTGTTACAGATAATTATTGATTATTAGTTAAAATATTTTTCTCTAATTATGACCTTAAAGAGATTTTTAGCATCAAAAATTAAATATGGCATGCTTTTCTTTTTTTGGTGATTATATATAATATTCCTTCATCTATTTTCAGATACTTTTCACCATTACTTTTTGGCTACTACTGAGGCAACACCTCACGGAGCAAAAAGCTCTTCGAGAAAAGGAAGCTCTTTTATCTGAGGTCAAAATTGAAACTCAGGAAATTGAAGAAAAAGGTAAGTTAGTGTTTTTTTGGAGATTTTTAAGTCAGTGTGTGACTGGAGATTTTTGTGCTCAGCAGAATTACAGAGAAAGAGCCCCTATGCTTCAGACTAGGTGGAAGGTGAACATGCACTTGGAGTGATAAATAGCAGTATTGAACGATGTGAGATTTAAATGACACGTGAGATTCACAGGAGCTTTTGAAAATATTGTATCATTTGATCCCCACAAAAGTGATTCCCACTTAAAGGGAGAAGGAAGAAGGGACTGATTTCTCTAAGGTAATATTGTAGGAGCCACCAAACAATCAGAATTCAAAATTGAAATAGTAGTTTTAATTTGTGTTCTTGTTACCTATTTATTTTTCTAAAATCTGCTGTACTTAAAGCGATCATGGATATTGCAGATGAAATAAGTATTCTAAAAGATAAGTATAAAATGTTACCAAACTTATTTCTTTTAAAATGTATCACAGAAGGGTTATAAAATTTGACTCTGATTAGTTACAAATGCTGCCTGGTTCACTAAAACAGTCTAAAACCATTCAAATCACATAGTAACACACAAAATACATGCTTCCATGTCCCACATCTGGCACCTGTTCAAAGGATTTGGTCAGGGAACCAACTAGGTATAACGACACAGTCTTTTATTTTGAAGATGATGAAGAAGAAACACAAGTGGAAGGAGATGCTGAAGAGAGGGAGGAAGAAGAGGAAGAAATGGAAGAGAAGCAAGAGAGTAAGAAAGAAGAGGAGGAGGAGGAGGTGGAAGAAGATGATGACCAGGACATCATGAAAGTCCTTGGCAATTTGGTGGTGGCCATGTTCATTAAGTACTGGATCTACGTCTGCGGAGGGATGTTCTTCTTCGTCAGCTTCGAGGGTAAAATCGTGATGTACAAAATCATCTACATGGTGCTGTTTCTGTTCTGTGTGGCCTTGTACCAGGTGGGTCATCGGTTGTCGTCTAATTTTTAATTCTCACACCCACCCCAGGACTATATGTGTGCTTCCTATGATTGCATTCTGAGTTACTATAATAATAATCCCAGGAACAACAACAACAACAACAACAACATAATAATAATAATCCCGGGAACAAATATCATTTAAATGATATGCAATTCAAACATGGCATATTAAGAACTCTACAATGGGAAGTGACTTCATTTTGTTCATTATTTTAAAATTTTAAGGTCTTAAAAAAGCAATTAAAAATAGTTCATGAGCTTTTCAAAAAAATGTTTGATTAAAAAAAAAAGGAGCCTATAAAATTAGGTTAATTTTAGTAGTCATTTAAGAACAGTGACTGAGTAATCTAAAATACTGTATGATACTCAATGCACTTGTCTTCTAGAGTTTGGAATCAGAAAACTGTGTGTGTATACACCTCTATTGTAATGTGTCAACTGCTTACGCATTTCATTAATTAGAAGTTATAGAATATTATACTTAATTAGTCTCTACAAATTCAGTTTTAACTGATGATAAAAATTTTAATTCAATGATAGAAACAAGTGCAGCAGTAAAATATTCTTGCATACAGCCATTAAAACACATGAAGCAACTATAATAAACAAGAGTATATTACATGTGGAGATAAAAATGTATCAACTGAAATAAGTCAAGTTTTGAAATACTAGGAAAAATTCAGGAAGGTGTTCTCCAATGAACATCCATAGATTTGTAGTAAAGAACAATGTCTTCTCTCCATGGTGGTTTCACATTTTTAATCATATACTGCCTGCCACCTTGATGTCAAAATTGAGGCAGTTTTCTCCGAGCAATAAACAAAGTGATGGAAGCATCTACTATACTGTTCCTTGAATGTCCTATAGACCAGAGCTTATGCTAAGAGCCTTACAAACATTATTTTACTCTCTTAACAACTCTGAGTGGTTACTTACCGAGGAGGAATGAGAAGCTTAGTATGTCCCAGCAACTTGCCCAAAGACATAGTTAATAACTTCCGGTAGTACCGAGATTCCAATCCAGATCCATTGGATTCTATGAGGAACAGAGCTTCAAAAATTCAATAAAGTCAAATAGGCTTTATTTCCAAGTATTTGTAAATATCATCATCTGCCTTAGTTGAATAAATCAGACATTTTTTTGAGAGTTTTTCTATAACCAGTTTTTGTTTGTTTGTTTTTCAATGACTGATTCACAGGTGCACTATGAATGGTGGAGAAGAATTCTAAAATATTTTTGGATGTCTGTGGTTATTTACACTATGCTGGTGCTTATCTTTATATACACATATCAGTTTGAAAACTTCCCAAGTCTGTGGCAAAATATGACTGGATTGAAGAGAGAAAAGTAAGAAATTTTGGTGTATGAAGGAATGTAATAGTGACAAGCGGGATGATGACTTGAGTGCCTATTGTTCAAAACATTTTATGGAAGGTTTAGTAAAACCTGGTGTAGTTAATGTCTATAAGTTCATTCAGAACAGGATTTACGTCTTATTCATTTGTGTTCTCTCCATCTAATCCTGATGTTGGCACATAATAAGGACTCTGTGAATATGGACTGCAAAGGGAATTGACCGGAAGTGAATTTTCAGCTCTATTTTAATGAAATTACATTTTCTAAAATCAGCTTTATGTGAAACACACCTGTTTAGTACTTAACCAGTCATGTTTTCTGGTTTCCAAATGGGAGCTCAGCTCTTCAGTAGATCATGGACTCACCATATAAAGCAGCAGCTTCTCCTCACTCCTGCAGTTTGTACCATGATTATAAAGAGCAGGTGATGGCACAGGGGAAAAATTATTTAAGTGCTTATAGTCTAGTGATTATGAAATGATTTTCCTTGTGCGTTAATAGATGGTACTCTATCTTTTTCTAGTTTGCTTCTTTAAATAACTGAAATTAGTTTAGAAATCCAACCAGAATTGGGCATAGAGTAAATATACTTCGGAGGCAAAGAGAAGAGATGAAAAGGATCACCAAGCAGCTAGACTAACATATATTTAATATTTTTAATATATTTTATTGATTTTTTTTTACTGAGAGAAAGGGAGAGGGATAAAGAGCTAGAAACATCAATGAGAGAGAATCATCAATCAGCTGCCTCTCGCACACTCCCTACCAGGGATGTGCCCGCAACCAAGTACATACCCTTGACTGGAATCGAACCTGGGACCTTTCAGTCCACAGGCCGATGCTCTATCCACTGAGTCAAACTGGTTTTGGCACATATTTAATAGTTATTCAACAAATATTTATTGAATGCCCTCCATGTGTCAGACACTGTTCTGTGCCTGGGAATACAACAGGAAGCAAGACAGGCAGAATCTAAGCTTTTTGCAGTTTATATTCTAGTAGAGGAGACAAACTAAAGAGAGACTTAATGTATAAATTAATTGTAAATTGTGACAAGTCTGTGAAGGAAACAAAAACAGGCTGAGGTAGTGAATAATGAGGGATTCCAAATGTAAATGAAGTGGTCAGGGCAGGCTTCACTGAGGAGGTGTCACTTAAGTCCCACCTGAAAGATAAGAAGGAGCTTGTCCTTAGGGGGGAAAAATGTGTGAGTTGAGATCTGAAATGCTCAAGAGCATCCCTGGCAAAGAGAAGAGCAAAGCAAAAGGCTGGCCAGAAGTTGGCACACATGAGGAACTGAAAGAAGGCCCTCCTGCCAGGAGCAAGGGGGTGAAGAGTGGAAGGAGAAGAGCTGGGAGGGTTCCACCAGGCACCCAGGTCCTGCATGGCTTATTGGTCATACTGGTTGGCATTTCATTCTTGGTGCAATATTAAAAAGCCTTTGAAGCACCTTGGATTAGCTGAGAAAGAGTGATGCATCAGGAGGCACAAGTAGAAATAAGACTGCTCCGTGAGCAATAGCAGTGAACACAAAGGTGGCTTCACCCAGAATAGGTGGCAGGAGAGATGGACAGCAGAAGTGCTGGTTCAGGAGATGCCCAGGCAGCAGTGAAGGCATAGTGAACAAATGAGAGTTGAAGACAAAAAAAAAAAAAAAAAAAAAAAAAAAAAAAAAAAAAAAAAAAAAAAAAAAAAAAAAGAATAAAGGAAGACTTCCTGACTTGGAAGTTGGCACGGGTTAGACTGTTATACCAGAGGAGACTCTAGTGGTGAGAAGGAGGTGGAGAACAGCTTGGCTGAGGAAAATAGGGAAATCAAGAATACTGTTTTCAGAACACAAATTATGAAATAATTATGAAACAACCAACTTCCAGTAGACATTTCAGTAGAAGAGTGAGAGTCCACAGGAAAAGCCTGCGTTTTAAATGCATATTTAAGTCGTGGATGTAAAGATGGTATTTAAATCCCCAGGAGGAGATGAGATTTTCTAGGGAAACAAAGCTCCAGAAGGACTTGACACTGAGTCCTGGGGCATTTCAGCATCTGGAGGTTCAGTGGAATACAGGAGGTGGTGACATAAGAGTGTGACAGTGTGGGTGCATGAAGACCTGGACTATTTCCAGAAGGAATAGGGGCAAAATTAAACAAAGACAGGGAAGCAGCCACTGAATTTGGCAATACCGGGGTTGTTATTGTCCACTGTGAAAGCAGGTAAATTGGACTGCTGGACACCTGTCGAAGGTGTCCTTTACAGTGAAGGGATTATGTCTTCATTGCCTAAGAAAGGGTCTTATTTCTCCCCCCCGCCCAATCAGGCTTGAGGATCTCGGCTTAGAACAGTTCAGCCTGGCTGAACTATTCACTCGCATATTCATCCCAACCTCCTTTCTGCTGGTGTGCATTTTACACCTTCACTATTTCCATGACCGGTTCCTGGAACTCACAGACCTGAATTCCATTCCCAGCAAGGAAGACAGCCCCATCTACAGGTGAGTGAGTACACACCTCTTAGGAAGGCAGCCCTCCTTCCCCTCCTTCACTGGGCCACCTTACAAGCCAATAATCTAATTTAGAGTTCCAACCTTGAACTTCCCATGAGTATCAACCTGTAAGTGAAAAAAGAAAAAAAAAAGGGATATTTGATGACACTTTTTGAAACAATTGGTAATGATTTATGACATTAATAAAAAGTGACCTTGGTAGTTATTGAGTAGATTCAGAGTACCTGTGTAAACTAAAATAGTTTAGAGTTGGTGATGTATATTGTGTGCCTGTCTAATTCAAAGGAGGTTTCTATTGTGCTGCAAACCAGTAAGGAAGTCATTGTGAGTGAGAGTTTTCCAAAAGATGATTGGGCAGAATTTTCCTTCTGTTCTGGAAATGAACCTTCGCTAGCAGGATAGTATCTACAAGCTACAATAACGCTTGCACCAGCTTAAGGAATACAGTAATTTGATTATTCCCTGTTTGTAACCAGAATAACATTTAAGAAAAAAACGTGAAGACAACATCTTTTAACAGCATTCTGTTGTAATCTTTGCAACAATAAATATAAAGGGATTACAAGTAACAGAGGGGATATTGCTCTCCCTGCCCATGTGCTTTGAAACCCTAATGGATTATCACAACTTCCCCAACCTGTTGTATCACAGGAAAATTGCCACCATTCTTCTATGAATGTCAGTACTGATTTTCTTCTCTGCCTCATAGTTAGCCTATGATTCAGTTTTTGGAAAAATGCTTGTTAAGTAGCTAAAGAAGCCAAGGGCTGTATTAAGGATATAGATGCCACAGTTGAAAATCCCCCTTAACTCTTTTCAAGGGAAAGAATGAGTACCTCAAAAGAAGATGAAGTAGTATTTCATCATGCACCATTTATGAAGTACCAAGTTTTCAATGTTCTGCTCTAGGAGGAGCTGGAATTATGGATAACTCAAAAACACTATTATTTGATGATGAAAAACATTTTATAATTGTTTTCTCTTATGACCAGCAAATTCATTTTCCTTGTGTTTTGTTGAACCTGAGCTTACATTTAGTGTTCATCCTGAGCATACTCCAGGTGACTGTCAGTGTGTCAGCCAGTTATTATTTCTTATCCTCTTTCCACCATAAAGAATCAAGCTCAATGAAAACCCATGTCTTCCCAGTGCCCCAGAAGGAGAAGGGTGTGAATGGGGTAATTTGCTGCCTTCAATGAGAATCAAACATTCAGAAACATAAAGCAGTTTTTAGGCTTATCAGGGTGATCACTTTGGAAGGTACATAAATGTTTAATCACTGTTGTACACCTGAAACAAATATAATATTATATATCAACATTAATTGAAATATAAATTTTTAAAAATTAAAATATAAGAAAAACAGAAGTTTGGGGATCCGTAAGAGAGATTATTTATAGACAAACTTGTTTGCAGGAAAAATAACACTGAGATTAAAAATTTATAAAAACAATGCCTGCATAGATAACTGAATTTTTAATAATTAGAAAAAATATTATTTCATTATTCTTTTGACATTGCTTGTGATACAAATGAGTCAAACTAGCATTTGATATTTAACTCTGACAATGTGATATACTTTATTCAATTATAAACCATCATCATTTTTTCAAAAAAATCACATTCAGTAATCAAGAAAAATATTTTAACCAGCAGAGATTTGAAATGTTTATGAAACAAATATAATCATTACTAATTGCTAATGATACCTTTTTAATTTTTCTTCTAGATGCCTTTTTCCCTTGCATATTTCTTTTCTCTTTGTTAAAGTTTCTCTAGTATCTAGGAGCCTTTTCTTGCCATTATTATTATATACATTTTTTAATTTGGCTGTATATGTCCCTCCTACTACAGTTAGAGAGAGCCCAGGCCACCATTATTTATTATTATTATGTCTAAGTCCTCTTTCACACAATCAAATAGAGATATAAGTCACAATTAAAAAACAAAACAACAGAGAATTTTAGGACCATCTCTATTAATAAAAGGGTAATATGCTAATTAGACCGGATAGACCTGACGTCTTCCAGACATCCTTCCAGATGGCCTTCCAGACAAAGCCACAGCGGCTGCGAGGCGCAGGAGAGGCGGCAATGCAAGAGAGGCACTGCCAGTGGCGCAAGCACCATGGCCCCTTTCACAGAGGTGGCATGGGAGAGGCATGGCTCGAACCCGTCCAGCACCATGACCCCTTCTGCAGAGGCAGCTGCTGTAGCCATGCCTCTGCAGAGGCTGGATGGGGTGCAACCTGCTGTGCCTCAACCTCCCGCAGCCTGTCTCCCAGCTGGCCTGGCTTCAGATTGGCCCCACCCACCAGTGAGCAGAGGGGCGGGGCCAACACTAAGAAGCTACGACCAACAACCATTGCAGCTGGCAGTGGCAGCAGCAGTGGGGTGATTGTCTCTTCCACAGGGAACAGGTCTCAGGGGATGTCATCAGTAGGACATCCCCTGAGGGCTCCTGGCCTGTGAGAGGGAGCAGGCTGGGCTGAAGGACCCCCACACCTAAAGCTACTGGGCCTCTAGTAGTTTTATAGAAGATAGTACATCTCAGAAAAGATTTTACCAGCCTAAGGAATCACAATTTTTGAAATAGCGGGTATGTGAAAACTGAATTGCCTTTGAGTATATAGAATATGATTTAATCTTGTAAGTTCTGGGGAAGAACTACAGCCTCATGTCAATGCATTTTCCATGTTTCCCCAGCTGCTACATTTACAGCCCTTACTCTCTACACCATCGTAAGAGAAGAAAGATTGCAATGATCTGGAGCAGTGTGAAGTCATTACTTGCCCTCCTCACAGCTTTGGTTTATCACTAAGCACTCCCTTAACAGTTAATTTTCTATGAAATTTGCAGGGTAAGGAGAGAGTATATAATGGCAGCTATCTGAAGAGCTTAGGTACATGGGATTTTATTTTTAGTTCAGGGTTGGGGGTGGTGGTGGAGGGAAGCCTTCTGGAACCTTAAGGAATTTGAAGGACTTACTCCAGGTTAGTATTTTTGGACTTCATACAAGAGTTTAATATAACAGTTCCCAAATCTTAACTTCAAACATATGCTCTATAGCCCATCTTTTTAGCAACTCTTTCCTGTTGTAATATTTTTCTTACTTACAATGTTCACCTCACAGTATTTTTATTATTACTATTATTGTTATTATTGTCTCTGGAGTCCTAATCATTGACTACATTAAATTTGAAATGCTGAAGAAGAAACATTTTCACATCCTAGCTGGTTTGGCTCAGTGGATAGAGTATCGGACTTGCAGACTGAAGGGTCCCTGGTTCAATTCTGATCAAATGCACATGCCTGGATTTTGGGCTTGATCCCCAGTGTGGGGCATGCAGTAGGCAGCCAATCTATGATTCTCTCTCATCATTGATGTGTCTATCTCTAATTCCTTCTCCCTTTCTCTCTGAAATCAATAAAAATATATTTTTTAAAAAAGAAAAAGAAATATTTTCAGAACTTGTATTAACCATCATACTTTGCTTTCTCTCTCCCATCTCCTTCATAGATACTTTAAGAAAGAGGGCCTGCAAACTGGGAATAATCAAATTATTGTGTTCCTTAAATTGGTGCAAGCACTATTGCTTCTGTAAATATCCAACTGCCCTTGTCCTATTTTTTCCATTGCGTGTGTGTGCTATGTGCATTATACACATAGGTAGTGTAGGGATATGTCACATGTCTGGAGCAAAATTTATTGTGGTTAGCTGTACCAAATTAGTAAAGTTAGCCTTATGAAAAGGTTTTATGAAATATATAAGATAATATTATTATGTCTAACTTAGTATTCTTAGGACTATCATTTCACTCGTATGTTGATAAAAATATATACCATACCACAATTATAATTCTGATATAATATATACTTAATAATAATGTACTAAATATTCATTACTTATTAAAATATCCATCACTGCAATTTGTCTTAAATTTGAAGGTATTGTGATGCATGTATAAATAAAATGACTTTTCTTAAGCTCCTCTTTTAGAAAACCCTAGAGAACAATATGATGAATGTGGTTATCTAGTAAGATTTTATTATTTTTTTTTTATTCTGGGAAAGGAGTAAGAATTAATCCTTGAGATTGTATTTTATTGATGGGCATACTCTAAAAATGTAAACATTACAAATTTTTAATAAGGTGTATAAGATGGGCAGGGATGAGAAAAATGGAGAGACTTGTTATATTTTTCCTGAATATGTCTAATTTCATGTTGCTATTGGATGTTGCTATCTGTTTTTTGGTGCATGAAATGTGTGTTGATGACATACCTGATGATGGAAAGTGTACAGGACACAATCTGCTTTATTCGTCTCTGTCTAACAATCTCCTTTCTCTCTCCACCCTGTGTCTCTATTGCCACCGCATGCAACCTTGTGCTTCCACCTCTCACCTCGTAGCCATGCCAAAGTCAATGGGCGTGTATATCTAATAATAAATAGGTGGGTACTTCATGTTTTCTCTCTTGTTTTTGTTAAGAAGGGTCTCTTGGTATGTTAAACACCTAACTGTTTGTAATTGAAAAATTATGTCATCAGATAGTGGACAGTGGTTTTCAGGTATGCTCATGGATGTATTTTGCAAATCAAACCATTTGGTATTTATACCAAATGGTGCCGCCAAGTGGATTCGGAGGAGGTTGAAGAGGGTCTTCAGCTGGTGCTCAGCCTTTGGTCTTGGTTCAAATTTCTTGGTAGAATTAGCTCAAGGCTGGCCTGGGAGCTCATCTTTCTCTTCAACACATAATTGAGAGCTCAGCTTAAGAACCACCTCCTCCACAGACTCGCCCATAAGTGCCAGCTTTCCTGCTAAAAGTAACTGGCCTTCCTCTGAATTCCCATTGCCCTTTCTTATGCTACCTCCCAACACTTGCCTCCCAGCCCTCTAGCTGCCTGCTTGTCTTATCTCCCTGGCCAGAGGTGTCAGCTCCTCAGGCCTGGAGGCCCTGTATAAATCACTAAGGTATCCACATATC